TACAGGTTTAAGTGACGTTTTGTTGCACCAACAGATCAGACAGCTCCACGCATTAGCCCTACCAGTAACATTAAAATGTAAACTTTAAACTTCACACCACAACAGTACATTTCCTGTTCAGTGACAGAAATCTAGCATCAATTAATCACCACTCAGACAAAAACACTATCAACATTTTTAATTAGTACTGAGACACTCTCTTTTTGGACTCATCCCTCACAATGGCTGTTTAAAAACCTGACTTATTGGTCTCTACTTAAGAAAGGATCTGGTTAATATCTGTGAAAAAAAGATAACTTAATCCATTCAGCCTGCGGTGCTGCCTGATAATCCCCACCAGTTCTATAACTTGCTGATAACAATTGCCCTCTGGGGCTAAGCAGCCAGCTGTAAATCAAGTAACCGCAGCTCCTATGCAGCTCGGGTTAATTTTAGGTCACAATTTATCCAGCAGGAATGTTGACTTGACACTTACAGGGTTTACTTATAAATGTGATAAAGGAAGAAAACACTAGTTGATCTTGTCAGGAACAAGGGCAAAAATGTAGGCAACCAAAAAAGGTTTGTTAATGCACAGTAGTCAGCGGTGAGCAAAAGAACTAGGTGATAATATTGTTGTCTCTTTCTTGTTACACAAGAAAAAAGAAAATGTGGGTAGGAGGGAGAACTGGAAGAAAGCTATTAAGATCTGCTACAGATCACTGGATAATGACAAAGTAGCTACTACACACTTCCCAAATGACACTGCAACTATGATACAGTTAAAATATTTATGAGATTAATCTTAGGAGTACCTTTCCATTCTCTCCTAAGCATCCATGTCCCCACACTAATGGCTCACAACCACACATCAGCCAGTTGACCCACAAAGTACATAATGAAAAGTTCCAGATCATAACAGATCTTAATTGTCCAGACAAACTAAGGACTATTCTAGGCAGGCCCCATATTCCAGGATCTGATCCCAGGTTTGCTGTTTATCCCAGATTATCTGGCTGTGCAGACTCATATAATCCAGTTTAAAGCGGAAAACCTGAGATCAGATCCTGGGATATAGGGCCTGTCTGGAAGGGCCCTAATTCTCCATAACCCACATCAACATTATATTCTAACAGGAAACAAACTGCAGTTAGTTTCAAGCCATGATTAATAAAGTTAATTTTAGTAAACTATCACTAAAGTTATTATAAGTAGAATTTTCTTTAATAAAATAATATCTTAGAACTGCTTTAAAAGTGTCTCATGGAATAAGCTGACTAGTGTTTGACAGTTTTCAGTTAAAAATAATATTTATATTTTCCTTGGTAGTGTCAATGATATGTTTTGTTGCCAAGTTGGGCAATATTATGTTTACATGATGTTCTTGTAGTATTTGGGTTTTGTCTTTTCAGGATTCATTTATGGAAAGCATGATCTCAGTAAACTATTAGGCTGATATTGAGTCAATTTTGATTTGATACGGACTGGGTTGTAGAGAAATTGTTAATGTGTATGTATATGCTATAACTTGTTGAATAATGGATATAATCTCTTTGAGATGGGTATTAATATCTTCACTCACCTGTTAATTGTGTCTACAACATAAGTAAGGCTTTTTCCGTGTCAGGAGCAACTTGAGAAACTGCAAGTTGTTTCTGGTGTGAGAGAATTGGCCATCTGCAAGGACGTTGCTCAGGGGATGCCCGGATGTTTACCATCCTGTGGGAGGCTTCCCTCATGTTCCCGCATGAAAAGTTGGAACGGACAGATAGGAGCTTACCCCACTCCCTGGATTCAAATTGCCGACCTTTTGGACAGCAGTCCTGCCATCACAAGAGTTTAACCCATTACACCACTGGGGCTCCAACATAGGTAGATAGATTGCTGAGGAAATCAAACTGCCAGGTTTCCTGGCCCCAGCCTGATACACGCCCTGTCACTCACTCAGATAGTAGGATGTGATTGGAACGAAATGTAGGAAGGTTAGGTGATGTATAGGCTTCTGGGACAGATGGAGGAAGCGGGAATGAAGGAGGTAAAGTCAGGGGTGGGTGGGTGAGATGTCATGGTGGCAGGAGAACAAGAACAGCAGGAAGGGGGTAAAGTAGGCAGTCTTACATCAGAGGTGTCAGCAGGTCTGAACTACTAAGTCACTATAAGGTTCCACGCAATCCCATTAAAAGTACTGTAATATCACTAGCACTACTAATATAATTGTCAATATTGTTAGCTTTCTTTTTAACATATCACATAATATTGACAGCATGGATACAGATTTTAAAAAGTGAAAGCCCAAAATGGAATTGTACATTTTAGAAAAACTGCAACTGTCTGTAAACATAACAATAAAATTCATTTTATAGTCAGCTCTCCCTGTAATTTCTCAGGTGCCAAGAATGCAGGAAGTCCTTGCTCCCCCTTCAGTCCTTCAAGGGCCGAAGAAATCAGCAGTTCCTTGAGAAGCCGCAAGTGATGGAAATTGGAAGAAAAAGAGGGTCAGGGAGGGAGGCATTCATTGGTTTTTGTTAAGAGAGAGAAGTTTAGGATAAGTGTGGGCTATGCTATGTTCTCCTAGGACAGACATTCCTGGAAATCAAACTTCTTTAGGAGAACAAACAGAAAGATGCAGTGACAAATCGGCATTCTTTTATGTATCTATATTTCTACCTACATCCTACAACACAGTAAAGAAAGATGTTCTAATAAAAAGACACCTTGAAACTTCAAATTATAACATTTATTAAAATCAACCTTCAGTAACATTTGCATTGCACTCAGTAAATTAAAATAATGGAGGATAATATTAAGGATGATATTAAAAATGAGATGGATCAATCTGGTAACTGCTTGTCACAAAATTCAGAAAGAATTCATACATGTCAATTTACAGTACTGTATTGTAAAGAAGTAATTACACGCACATATCCCTGCCAATGCATGCTGAACTTCCCGACAACGCACAACATGCTCGCCTGCCAACAAGTCATTGTTAAGTCCTGTTGGCAGACTTGACCACTGACCAGTTAAAACTTTCTTCCGCTCTCCCAATTTTCACATCTCTTTCCTCTGAATCTGATCCAGATTTTGTATAAATTAAACAGATAGGATAAAATACAGCCTTGTTTGCTTAACAGTGGCCTCTTTACATAAGTATAGGTTATGCACAGCAATGTTATGGCACATACATTTCTTTCAGAGCCATCCATAATTTTAATTATCTATATGAGCATAGGCTTTGCTATATTTTACTAAGAGCAGGTTGAATGTTTTTCTGAAATTGTTTGGTTCAATATATTAGCCAACATATATTTGCAATATGAGCCCTTGTTCCTCTTCCTTTTCTCAACACAGTTCAGACATGTGGCTTTTGTCATTCCAGATATGGCAAAGGGCTTGATTGCTATATCTTTAGCAACACTTTTCTTTCATGAGATGTTAATGAAATGGTCAAATGATTCCAATAGTCCATGAACATTTCCTGATTCACTATATGAATGATCCAACCATCAAATATTTTATTTTCTTCCTCTTCTGTCTCTGCAGTTGGAGTATATACCTGAATTGTGTTTATATTGACAGGTTTCCCATGAAATCTCACTGCTATTACTCTGTTGGACATTGTAATATATCTTAACTGCTTTTGCTACATCTCACCTCATTACTACTGCCATCCTATTTTTCTTCTTTGATTTTCATTCCCTGAGTCAAATACTGAAAATGTCCTATTTTTCTGCTTTGGCTTACTCACCTAAGGTGCTGCAATCTTTATAGCATCCCTTTTTGTGTGTAACAAAAAACTTACTCCAACTCATACTTCTCACATTCCATGTTCTCATTACATGCACTGTGTAGATTTAGACTTTCCATTTTCCTGCTCCCCCCCACCCCACTCAACATCAAAGAATATTAGCAGATAAATATTATTTTAGCTCTTCCCAAGACCTGTGAGGATCTCCTCTTTTAGCCCCATCTTTTGCTTCATTTTGGATTGCCCCAACTTAGTTCTTATGGGAGAAGAAATTCAGAAGTAGTTCAATAACCAATACATCAGCCTGCACAGTGTCAACAATAGTTAAGTGAAGTTCCACTGTCTTTCAGAGGCATTCCGCCAATGTCATTCCTCACTATACTGCTGCTCAATATCTGTTCCGCACATTTAGTCTCACTCCTCAAAAATGTCTGCCTGACTTAGGAAACCCAACCAGCAGCAGTACTATCATCAGCACAGCTTCTTGCCTCAATGGAGCATGCATTCCGACCACCATAGAAATGTGGTACCATGGTGGGCCCTTTCTAGGATTTGTTAGAATGTTTAAGAAGCAATTAAATGCTTGCTAGTGATTACAATTAAGAAAACATACAACCATATTGCAAATATCTGTACTTTTAACCAGCTTTTCATTCAAGCCTTGTTTACACACATATTGTTAAAATTTATATTGTGAGGCTCTCAGGGCAGCAACCTAACTTTTTTTGTTGCTGTTATTATAACATGTTATACACTTAAATGGTCCAAGGAATCAAGGAATAACATCTCTCAAGAGATTATTAATCTTCTAAACATGAGAACTTAGAAGAAAAAAATCAGGCTGTGTTGTGTTGATCATTCATTATTTTTAAAGGGAAATAACTAACAATGTAGCTATTTTGTGAGGAAAAATAAGGAATACAAACTGGGAACATTTCCCCAATTTTATGGGCAATGTCATGCTGCTAATCACTGAAGCAGGTTATTTCCATGAAGTGATATGCCTCAGCAGACTAAACATTATGATTGCTGTCACAATACAGCACTCCCCATTTGGTCTAATGCATGAAATATTACATTCTGTTACCCAGAGCCTGCCAAAATCAATGCACAATGGTGCCAGTAAAATGAAAGGGACCACACATGTACCAGTGTCTGGAAGATTAGGGCTCACATAGTTGCACTGCAGAGTTGTGAATAGGAACATCCTGCTGATCAGCATTTTAGCTAGATCACCAAGACATTCCAACTAAATAACAAGTTAACAACTTACTTTTATTGCCTACCAGGGCCACATGTGGTTGAGTTTCTGACTCTTCGTTGACCTTCTTTACAACATTATACCAATCTTCTAAATTTTCAAAGCTCTGCTGGTTAGTAATATCATATACTAGAAGGACAGCCTGCAGAGGAAAGATGAGAAAAACACAATATATTAAGAAACAACTTTGAACTCTTGTGTTAAAAATAAGGTGGCTGCTTCTGTTAGTATGATTGCTGTTTCACTGAGGCCCACGTCTGGGCCCTACTCATGAGAAAAGTTGAGGCCCTCTACATCTTCAATGAATGTTTTATAGTGTGCCTCCAATTCATTTTTTTGTGCGTCGTTGTGTGTCTCCAAAACATTACCAATTTATGAAGACCCTAAGACAAGTCTATCAGAGGATTTTCTTGGAAATATCTGTCCAGAGATGGTTTGTTCTTGCCTTCTTCTGGAAGCGGAATGTGATCTGCTCAAGGTCATGCAGTGAGTTTCCTAGCTGAACATAGATTTGAACACTGCTCTGCAGCAGTGGTTCTCAATCTTTGGGTCCCCACGTGTTTTGGCCTACAACTCCGAGAAGGCCCTGTCAGTTTACCAGCTGTTAGGATTTCTGAATGTTGAAGGCCAAAATATCTGGTGATTCACAGTAGAGAACCACTGCTGTAGAGTAATGTTCAAATCCATGTTCAGTTATGGAAACTCACTGCATGACTGTGAGAAGATCAGGCTGAGAACCACTGCACTACAAGAGTCGAAGTTCAGAAGCCTCCACATGTGTACATTGCTAACTTAATACGCAAAAGATCAATGGATTAAAGATACAGCATATTAAATTCAATGAACCATTAATAAGTTAAAAAAATGAACTAGCAGAGTTCTGCTGGATTTTCTATCATGTCGGAAAGCAACAGCATATGCATTTGTTAGCAGATCACATGGACATTCTACAACAGATGTGTGCATGCAATGATTTATTAGAAATAAAAAGGCACTATCTTAAGGCTGCAAACATTAAAATGATTCCTTCTTTGTACAAAGTATAAAAGTAAACTTTCAGTAGAACTACAAAACTAGAACTTGGAAAAAGGTATCTCTGGATAATAGCCCATGCTTGAAAAACTAAGCATTATATTTCTAAAAAGAAAAGAAATTGCAACTTCCTTGTGTTTACTAAAATTGCACTGCAGCAAAGACGTTTACAGTAATGTACTCATGTGGAAGTCAAATTCACCCTGCTGGTTTCTGAACTTTGATTAAAGCAGCCGGCCAACAAAATTTTGTCTGAGTTCAAGAAGTCATGTAATGTTCTTTTCTTACACATAACCTCCCTTTACAGTTCATGGAATATCATCATCATTACCAGCACACTGGTGTTATCATAACACTCCAGTGAATCTCAATTGTCATCAGCCACAGATTGTGACACAGTGGAACCAGAAAAAGAAAGTGAAAACTGTAATGTATCCTAGCAACATATTAACTCTTTTTAAAAAAGAAAACAAACAAGATATATAGTAGATAGCAATGTATGCTCTTTCTTCTTTCTGCTTTGTATTGGCCTATCTCAACTCAAGCAAAGAAAAACAAATATTAAACAAAACATATTTAAACTTGACATTAATTACCAGTAAATTTAGTATTACCAACATCATGTTGAAAATCATATTTATGTCTTTCTAGCATGTCTCCTATTAGAGGGCAACAAGAATGAAAGAGTGTAGCACAAATTTTTTAAAGTTTTAAAAAAATACCAGTTGGCTGATGGCTTCCTGCCAAAACTAAGGGCCTCGTGGAGGTAGTGTAAAATAGGGGATAAAACTAAATCAGGAAACCTTTGGTTCAGCATTTGACCTTTCATTAACTCATTAACTGAGAAGACAGTCTCTTAACCTAAAAATCCTATTTAAAAGGGGGCATAATTACAATGTTTTGTTCTAAAGGTAATAAAATAATTTATATTAGAAGTTGGATCACTCAAAATCTTTGTAACAATACATTTAAACATTTTACTAAAAAGCAAATTGCATCAAAATTCATCAGATATCTTTCCCCAAAATGTTTTTAGTTCTAGCGTATTTTTAACGCTCCATGTCCACAACTGTATTGCATTTTGTGCTTGTGCAAGACAAAACAAAATAAACAAAATACACCCTATATTATTGTGAGTTTTAATTTAACATCATTTCACAGTGTTTTCTCACTGTATGTAAAAAAGACAGACATGATTGGCTTAACAAATGCAACACGAAAGATGTTAACCAACTATTAACAACCTTTTTAATAACTAGCTTTAAATTATCAAGTCACTCAGTTTTTTTCTCCTACCAATATGCAACTTTATTCCTTTCTTCAGTTAACAGCTCCACTTCCATATTTACAAATTATTATACTCTGGAGTTCAACCACCTATTTCCTTCTTTATTCTGGGAAAACAGTTGTTGTGTATGTGAGTCTGCGCTGACATATTTATACTGTGAATGTTTATGAGTATGCATGTTCATAGTTCAAGCTTTCAAAAAGCTATACATCTGTGTATTTTTTTGCCTTAAAGAGTAAGAAATAAAGGAAAAAGAAGGAAAAGGGAAAATAAATGTGCTGCTATTGTTAACTTGAAATTGTGCATACTTGTAAAGCAGAGTACATTTTCACTGTTCTACACAAATATTTAGCTACCTGCTTGCCTTCTTTTGTTTGCCCCCCTAGAACTTCAGCTGGCTGAATGAATTTAATGACATCAGATTGCTCTTAATTTCCTCCTTCTACCTTTGCTCCCCAGGAAGCATCTGTACTCAAACCAGCCACTATGTCTATTTAGATATCCATGGGGATATCTAAATAACCTTAACAAAACTGCCATTTTCAACTTAAGCCACAATGCAGGGCTACGAACATCTGTTTCAGAGAGCTGTTGGGGATATACAAACTAGCACCTTTCGTTCATAAAAGAAAATACTGTTCCGAAATTTCAGTCTCCAGAACCAATGCTCAAACAAGCTTTACTTAAGCAGCTGTTTACATTTTAACTAGGCTCTTCAAATTATGCTGCAAGCTATCATTTTTACAGTGAAAGTTCTAGGAAAGCATACAATAATCTACTGCATTTTATGGGTTTTTTAAAAGGTCATACCTGTGTTCCATAAATATATTTATCCAACATTTTTCCTCCTATTGTTTGGCCTCCGATATCCCATACTTGAAGAGTAACATTTACATTCCCTGCAAGAAGGGGAAAAAATGAAAAGGTTGATGTCTAAGTTACTGTTGCACCACAGAAATTAGATATACATCTTTACAAAAGCACACTGAAACAGCAGACCACATGCTCTACCTATGCCAGATGTGCTCTTGTTGATATATTTGTCTTGTAAAAAGAGATGAAGAGCACATACACCCTATGGCAAAAACATGCAACTTGTCAGACACATTTAAGGAGGCCTGCGTTCCTCAAACAACAGCTCTCTGTGCCGTATAGGAAGACCCTCCTTCAAATTTTTACCCTTGGTTTCAAAAACTGAACTCTTCAGCAATAGAATATTTTAACACAGATTTCCAAACATTTCATGTTGGTGGCACACTTTTCGGACATGCAACACATAGGTAAAAGTAAACATTTTCCCCTGACATTAAGTCCAGTTGTGTCTGGCTCTGTGGGTTAATGCTCATCCCCATTTCTAAGCTGAAGAGCTAGTGTTGTCCTTAGACACCTCTAAGGTCATGTGGCCGGCATGACTGTATGGAGCACCGTTACCTTCCTGTCAGAGCGGTACCTATTTACATGTTTTGGAACTGCTAGACTGGCAGAAGCTGGGGCTGACAGCGGAAGCTCACGCTGCTCCCCGGATTCAAACCTGCGACCTTTCAGTCAGTAAGTTCAGCAGCTCAGCAGTTTAACGCACTGCACACCAGGGGCTCCCATACAAACACATTCATACAATCTGTCATGTAAACATATAAAGAAAAGACAAAGATGTTGGAAATGTGTGTTATTTACAAATGATATGTTTTAAAATATAAATGAATGTTTTTCATGAGATATGTTGTGTTCCCATACATATTGTTGATACAAACACATACGTACACTGTAACAACAATATGTATGGGAACACAACGTATCTCATGAAAAACATTCATTTATATTTTTTAAAACATATGATTTGTAAATAGCACACATTTCCAACATCTTTGTCATTTCTTGATACGTTTACATGATAGACATACACTGCAGCCAACACACTAACGTATCATAACACACTATTGGGAAAGCTCTGCTATAGACTGTATTTATTTTTCTATTTACTATTAGTGGGACTGTAGGCTATATTCCAGAGGAAGGAAACGACAAAGTGAGTATTCCTTGCCTATGAAAATTCTAAAAACATTCATGGGGTGCTATAAGTTACCTGGTGACTTGAACACATGTACACATATTGCTGGTGTTACTGCTAGTATCATTCATCGTCATCACTGCCCTGTCTCCCACCATTACCTATCTGCCTGCCCATATATTTTCCCTAAATAGCAAATCCAAAAGCAAAATAGAAAACAAAATAATAAAATTCAAAACAAATATGTGATCTTTTTAAAAACAGTAAAATACAGTGTAAAACCTTTCCTGCTGAAGGAGAAAAATAAAAACCACCTCAAGTGCAAACCTATGGACCTCTGTTCTGAAGGTCCACCAAACTCAAAATGGGTTACTTTCAAGGGAAGTGTACATATAGTATTGTGGCCTTAACTACTCAGACTAGCAAACACACTCTGCATCAGAGGTGACAGCTGCAACTTTTCAGACATTGTTGAACTTCAACTATCTTCATTCACCACCATTAGCTATGCTAGTTAATGCTGCTGGCAGCTTAAGTTCACAATGTTGTCTGAAGAGGCTTGGATGAATTAAACCATTTTTGCCCTCCAACAAAAAAAGACAATTGAGTTGGCACCAGATAAGTGTGGAGGTTACAGTTGTGATGTTAGGAAGGCCCACACCATAGAAACCCACACACCTCAGTTCTTTTGATGGAGATATGCCACATGGGGACTCTGGAGGTGATCTTAAAATCCAGTAGTATATATACAGAAGGCAGTAATCTTGCAGATATATAAAGGAAAAAGCAATCATTCGGCTTGTTGAAGTGAGTTTAAAAATGCACTGGGGGACTAAGTAATTGTTACAGATGGTTTATGGTAGCAAGAGGTGCATCCCCAAGTGTCTCTTTAATTTAAGAGGTAAACATGAGAAATAAATGTTCCTAAGAAATAAGTAAACTATAGCTCCATCATCTTAAAATATCATCAGCCTGTTAAAGTGAAAATAAACCAAAGAGCACAGGCTACTTGTACACAAAGACAAAGACCACATAACATAATAAATGGGCTCCGATTGACACAAGCAGCAAACTACGATAAGCACATGTATGGTAGTGATTTAGAGAAGTACTCAGCTCCACTTACCACCATATTTTGAACAACCCAACTCATTTTACAGACATGATCTACATGTGACGTGAGGAGCTGGTGCTTAAAAAACACAAGACTAAAGCTCCATGTGGTTTCCTCTAATTACCTGACCATTTCTACATTGCAATTTTGTGCAAAATGATGTGTCACCAAATCACTAGACACACATTTAGGGGTATTTCGACAATACCTATTTTCTATGGATTTGCACACAGAAAAGGCTATACCTTTGGGCATCCTATAATGTCCTCCTTGCAGACAAAGCACTTCATTTTATTTAGTAATGCAAGGTGAGATTCAAAGATCCACATTTTCATCTTTCTCTGCAGTACTTCCATTGAACAGACATGATACTTTTAAACCTGCGAAGCAGCTATTCTATTTGGAAGAACTGCAGAAAGAAATGAAAGTAAAGCTTTCACTGAGCATATGGCTGCACATGCATAATTTATTCTTTGGATCCTGGCACTTGCCTGATGATATAGCTTGGAAAAAAAGCTTCAAAACGTTTAAAAGATGCACTCTTCACCAAGAATAAGGTTTTTAAAAGGTAGCTTACTCATTTCTTGGATGTAATGTTTTTTGGTGTTACTCAGCCCCCTCAAAATGTATCTGTACTTTCTCTGGTCAACATACTCAATATAATGTAACTGCTGAACTAGCACTACATTCCTACACCAAATACAAAATCAAACCTGTTTTTACTTGATTTCACATTTCTGGTGTGTTAATACTTCCATTCTAAAGCAGCACTAAAACTGTAGCAGAACTCCAAATCATTTAATGTAATTTCTAATAATATTGTATTTATTCAGTTCTAATATGTATCTTTTTCCTATATAAACATCTCTAAAAATGGGATGTATCTTAGAATCGCAGGTGTATTTTTGTTGGTGGTGGTTGTACTGAAATTAAGAAAACCAATGGAAGTCTTGCAATTGAAGAAACATTGTAATTCAAATAATATGACAAAGAGTGCATCTACACTGAAGAATCCATACGGTTTGACACCACTTTAACTACCATGACATAATGCTATAGAATCCTAGGATTTGTAGTATGGTGAGGCACCACCTTTCTTTAGTAAGGAAGGATAGAGGCCCTAGAAAATTCCACCTCCCTTGATTCCATAGCATTGAGCCATTGCATTTAAAGAGGTGCCAAACTACATTAATTCAACAGTTTACATGCATTCCATGGTTCAACAATTTTAAATACCCCTCAGAACCCAGTGATCACAGAGACAATATTACGTTCATGCTTGAACTTCAAGCATTCAGAAGGGAACCATTTGTGTTTTAACAATTGATAAACAAAGAAAGTTATGCCAATTATTGAATAGCAGTCTATATCTGAAAACAACAGCAAGATTCTATATACAGTATATATCTACTGAGAAGTAAGCACCATTAGGTTCAATGGGACTTATTCCTGAGTAAACATGTACTGTGTTGCACCTAAGCATGTTTAATTTAAAGCTCTTTTGTTAAAACGTACTTACATTTATTTATTTATTTATTTATTTACTTAATTTCTACCCAAACTTACTCAACCTGGGAGGCGACTCAAGATGGCTTACAAATCCGGCAAAAATTCAATGCCGCACAGGTAAACAATAAAACACATCTCATAAAAATATAAACAATCTAAGCATATAAGCAATTAAAACGTATAGCAATAGATCAAACAGATTAAATTAACAAAACACTAAACAGCAAATAGAATGAGCAAAATAAATGCATGCCTCATTCTTAATTTTACATATAGATAAGAATATTATCCCATTATTCCTTTTGCCAGCTCTCATAGTCAGACCTGAAATTTCATAGACAAAACATATTGCCACAATATGCAGCATACTTAATGCAGTTCAGAAGAGCTCACAAAATAAAATTCACTAATGTAAATCACTAGTTTGTCTTCTAAATCTCCAAAGACCTAATGTAGTATTACATCTGGACAAAACTGCAACCAAAGCTCGAGATATTGAGTCTCAGAGAGCTGCAGACTTTTTGTTCACAGAAACCTTGCACCTTTAACAGCTAAGAATGTGGTAAAGGTTCAATAGGTTTGGTTTTCCCTCAAAAACCAATATTTGCGTGTTATGCAGCTGTCACAGAAGTAAACTTTCTGCCAGGAAACAAAGGTGACAAATCCTGAAATCCACAAATCCAAGAAAAACATATCTCTGCAGTCCCATCTAAATGTACCAGTTTAAGAGGAAGGAAATGGCATATATAAATATTACACAGTAAAATATTGGAACTCCTAAAGTTCGATACAAAACTCAAAATTTACATTGTTGATAGTGGACAATCGTGTTGTATCTATTATATTGTATTATAGTACTAGTAATAAGAGTGTTTCGTGTCCTACCAGAAACAGATAGTTTAATTATGCTGCTTGGTATTATTTATGATGTAAAATTAACAAAAATGTTATTAACTATACTATCTGCATCCATGTAAATGGAATCCTACATCCATTTACATCTATTTAGCCCCAAACTGGGGAAATGTATGCAGTAAACAACCAATGCAAATATAGGTTTTCCTGTTTGAACGCCTTGTAAAATTATCCTTCTAAACTATTTCATTTTCAGTGAAGATTTGGTGGATTGAATGGTTAAATAAAATGTAGGCCAGCTTTCACCTGCATGATAAAATTATCCAGTTTTCACAAGAAATGCCTGCATTAAGTAGATACATGTAACGAATATATATGCAGTGCTCAGGTGATCTTTCTATACATTACAATCAATATGAATAACAAATTTGACAAACTTTCTTCTGCTTCTATATAAACATAACTTCCAAGCATTTCTCCTCTGCAAACCATACACTAAGGAAAATAATTCTCTGTAAATTGTACCTGAAGGCAAAAAAGCTGTTGACATTGGAAATGAATCTACATTCATGTTAAAACAAACTGTACGCGTATCTTGGTGAAATTATTATTGTTGCTATTGTGTGCTTTCAAGTCATTTCTTACTTATGGGACTGAATCTGTTACAGAGTTTTCTTCGCAAGATGTGTTCAGAAAGTATTTGTCTTCCTTTCCCTTCAAGATTCAGAGAGTGTGATAACCCAAAGAATTTCCATGGCCAAGTGAAGATTCAAACCCTGATCTCTAGAGCCATAGCCCAACACTCAAACCACTGTACAGGCAGTCTCCAAGTTACAAACATCTGACTTACGAACAATTCATAGTTAAGACAATTATGAACAATTCATAGTTAAGGTGAGACAACAGGAAGTGAGAGAAATCTACCCCTCAGAAGGGAAATCCACTCAATCCTTTTCTCCATAATAGTAAGAGTTATTATGGGGGAAAGGGGTCTCTACTGAAGCTTTACCACCCAATCTTTGTTTCCACAATCCTTTTTTTTCAAAATCCAATTATCTTCAGGATAGAAATGAAGATGAATTCTTCTGAATAGAAGCACAGAGAGCAAAATAATCCTTCCCTTTGCTATTCAAAGCTATATATATATATATATATATATATATATACACACACACACACACACACATATACACACACATACATATATAGAGATATATAGATATATATATATACATATGCACACAACTGGAGTTACATTTTAAAATGTACCTGTTCTGACTTACAAACAAATTCAACTTAAATACAAACCTACAGGACCTATCTTGTTTGAAACTAGGGGACTGCTTATTCCATGCTGGCTCTCAAGTGAAATTTTAACCTTCAAAAATAGAGGTTTCTGGAAACAGATTTTCTTCTCTCTTATTCTATCCCTCATGTGTTTATATTGTTTCCACTATATTAAACCCTGATCCTGAGCCCAATTTTAGTCTCCTCTTCCCCCTGAAATAAATGAATTTACCTATCTACTTATTTTAAATGTGTAATATGAAATACATGCACACAGACAAATACAAATCTGTCAAAGGAAGACCAAATGCTTCAGTTCTGGTCAAATGTCCTGGTAAAACAAAAACTAGAAAAACTGCAGTCTATTTACACAATGATAAATATACTGCAATAGCCACATATTAATATGCTTTACAGAGCTGTAGAATATATGTTGTGGTCACTAACATTAGAAAATAAAACATAACAAAACAATTATCTTTGCAATGAAAATTTTTCATATGGGCTAAAAGAAAAAAAATTGAAGAGATTTTGCTAGAACTCTCTTTTTTGTAACTGGTAACAATGTTTAACTGTAAGTGAGGCTGATCTTACTGGGAAAGCAAGGCAGATATACAAACTCTTTCGGTCTGAATTAATGCCATTAGCAGGCTTCAACAGCTACCTTCTAAAAGTATAAGTATAAAAGTATACTTGGGGTTTTGGTTAACCTTACTGAAAGTTTCTACACAGTCAAGATAGAACTAAAAACCTGTCTGTTCACCTTTTTTTACTGAGGCCTTTTAAAAGCCTTTTCATAGTGAAAATCTGTTTACTAGGTTATACCCACAACCCTCCTGAAAGTATTTTGACTATGGCTCTTAAGGAGCTCTATCTGCAAAACCTCTGACTATTTTAAGCATTGAAATCTGCACAGTAGTTGCATACAGACTATACAGCATGCCAGATCATGAAACAAAATGAATTGGACCACTGTTTAAAGCATAATTACCATGAACAAAGAGAATCAGATTACTCTAAGTTTTAAAAACATGTTTCTCACAAGTAAGATATCCAAATGGATGCTGAAATATGTATGCCCTAATCCTAAATACAATAAGTTCACTGCAAATCCCTGCATGCAACAATGTGAATTTGGGAAGGGTCCATCCTACAAAACAAATGGTTAATACCATCTGCTTTGCCAGCAAAAATAACCTAAATGAATGGGATAACTATCTAGGACTGTGGATTCCAACCTTTGGTCCTCCAGGTGTTTTGGATTTCAGCTCCCATAATTCCTAACAGTTGGTAAACTGGCTGGGATTTATGGGAGTTGAAGTCCAAAACAACTGGAGGACCAAAGGTAGGAACCACTGATCTAAAATCACCAACCCTACATAACTAGTGCAACGATCAAACCAGCTAACCAGAGTAGCGTGCACACTTGACAGTGTTGCAAGGGAAACACATGGACCAGCTCAAGTACTGGAAGTTAGTGTGATCCATTCTTTTCCCTTATGCCAGTAGTTCTCAACCTGTGGGTCCCCAGGATTTTTGCCTCCAAGTCCCAGTAATCCCAGCCAGTTTACCAGCTGTTACAATTTCTGGGCCAAAACATCTGGGGATCCACAGGTTGAGAACCACTACCCTATGCAGACTTCGGAAGGAAGCCAACATGGCCACTCAACTGGAAGAACAGCTTCGGATCCAGCAGATATCTCCATTAACGCAAGGGAAAGGAACAATTTTTAAAATTTGTTCTCCTCCTTACACCTCCTTAATAGTTTCCATTCTGCTCTGTAAAGTCCACCAACTAATTTGGAACTAATTGTCTAGAGATCGAAGATGAAAAGGGCATCAGCAAAATCTCATCAGGTTTCTTTTCTGCTAGCTGGATCAAAACTGCTCCGCAGTACAAAAATGTAAAATGCCCCTCCTGGACTGAAATGAATGCATAGAAGAAGTTACATTGATTGCACCCAAGCTAATGTATGCTAGCACTACAGCTTCAGTGAATCTGTTCTGAAACTAGGACACCTGTATAAGAAAAATACCAAATTAAAGACTGGTATTTGTAAGATCGCCAAATATGAATTGAAATTAATATTCTGTTTTGATAAACTAGGAGATCTTAATAATTAATGCAGAATCAGGATCTGTCCTTTAAAAAACCTGGTTGCAAATCAATTTTTCAAAATACTTGTATGTAAACATTTGTCCAAAGACCTCCCAACTCTTCAAGAATCTACCCACTGGTATAACTAAGCAGAATAAATTATTCTTCTCACATTTATAACATTAATAATGTCTTGTTTAAGAATATTCAGTTCACTTCTTCTAACTAGATTTGTATCAATCTGTATGTCACAAATTGATAAACTTTACATTCAATCTTTAAAAAAACTTTTTTCAATAAAATGCAAAGCTGGGGGACTCTTCTGTCATTAATAATAAACATGTCTGGAAAAACTCTGGGAAAATAATTATTCTACATATTGACCAACAGAAAAAAATACTTGTAAGAAAAATACTTGCAAATATTATGAGGAAACTACTTAATAACTTTGTCAGAAGTTGCAAGGCAAATAATTGTACAACATATTTGGGGATGGAGCAAAATGTAAGTATTTTCCCAATCCAATTAAAACAATGTATACACTTAGCAACTGTAATCAACTGAGGGCTGGAGCACAATATACATTTTCAATTCATAAATCCTCATGTTTACAGGGTACACATTTCAGTTGTTAGTGCTACTGTGAATACTATGTAGTAACATACCTATACTTATAGAAGACTAAGTAGGTTACTCCATTTAGAAAGAAATAAGCATACAGACGTGGAATTCAGTAGCACATTCAATTGATCTACATGCTAACTATTACTGGCTAAGCTAGGAAAGAACTGGGACCAATTTATGTTGGCACTTATATATGTGACCTATTTTTCAGGTCAGTGTAACGCTATACATTTGATACTGGCTTTTCAGAAGCTAAAATATTTTAGAATTATTTAGTGGTACTATATTATTTTAAAATGATCAGAAGACAGCCCCTAAGATGTATTTAACTAACAAACAAACAAAAAGCCCCAAACGAATATATTGTTCAACAAAACCATTCCTCATTTGTAGTCTTCTGAAACATCCCATAAATAATAAAAGTTCAATCTTGCAGCAAGATTATCAATTCGCCCTGTAGTCTCAGTGAAAACATTCCCTCCAACTTCGGCTTGCTAAGCACACCAGGGGAAAATGCATTTTACCTAATGTTTTTATGCTTGAAAATTAAGATAAAATGAACAACTACTTTTTGACCCCTAATTGTTCAGAAATGAACATTTTAGAACTTCTCATTCTTTTTTTTTAATTACTTCTTTATGTTTTCCATACCCTGTACAACTGGTATCTAAATAGTTTCTTTGCATCATGAAGTGAAACATCTTGAATGCTCAAACTGTATTTTTATGAGTGCCTGGGGACCCTGAATTTTAGTGGTCTATTAAATGCCAGCAATTTCATGCTGCCTTGCATAAGACAGCATTCACATATTACAGCCAAGCAATTCCATACCTACATTATACATGTATCCCTTCAACTTAACCAAAAGTGGGGGATATCTTATTTTAAAATATCTTTTGAAAAGAAACATTTTTCCATCGCTATACGTGGAGTTTTTTCTTCTTATTCTGTACATGTTAATATCTACTTTAAACCCTAGCTACAAGAACCTGGGACAAGCATATGCTTCAGAATGTAATTCTTCAGACACAACACGAAATGATGTAAACAGACAACCCTTCAACACTGCATTTCTTTAGATTCTTCAAGTGCTACACTAATTCTTCTTATATACTTAAGAACAAATGCTTTCCCAAACATTTTACCATTACTTCCCACTTTTCAGTATTGTTCATGTTACTCTCCTCTTACCTGGGAGTGTTATTCTTTTCAAAAAGAAGTCAAGTCCTATGGTTTGTTTGTACTGCTTCCCAAAAGCTTCTTGAGCAAAACGTGTGGCTAAGGAGGTCTAGAAACAGAATCACATCAAATTCACTTGGTATTTTAAAGGAGACAGAGAAGTCAAAGATAATACAAAGTAGTTTTAGAATAATGATTTTAAAGTTCTATGTAACTTCTTTTCCTAAAAGAAAGGTCATTTCTACAGCAAAATTGATTAGTAAAGTAAAAGATAACTTTTTGACTCATTGAAGGCTTACATTTTGAGAATAAATAAAATGTAATTAGAATACTACGTAATACATTCATACAAAAAGTCTAGGAAGCTCCAACACAAAGCCTAAGAATATATCTTCACATTACAGGAACACAATTTTTCTACCGTCTATTAAGTCAGGCCCCTGATCCGCCTAGTTCATAGTTATCAAAACTGACAGACGGTGACTCACCAGGATTTCAGACAGCCCTACCAAAAATTGGACCTGGATCTGTGGCATTCAGAGCATCTTCTCTTCCATTAAGCTAATGACCTGTTCTAGATCTTTTTCCAGATTAATTAGAACTGTAACAAGCAGAGCAATTCAGAAGGCTGTTTGCCTTCACAATAACACTGGCCAAGATTTAAAGGACCACACAAAGAGTTAATGAGCCCAGGGGGTATTGGATTTGTGTTTGCTAAGCAAGAGCACCCTCCCCACACTCAAATAACTTCAGAAACTAAGGGGTGTTGCAAAAGCAGTTTGTTGTATCAGTAAGAGATATGCAGTACCCCCCCCCCCCAAAAGAAAGTGTTTCAGTGGGTTTGATGTAAGGCAGGAAGATAGTAACTTAACCAAGATCGCAGACAAGGATGAATGTCTCAGTGTATTTCAAATCGATGTGAGTCTTATGTGCTCAGTCATAGGACTGTATTTGTTGTGCTTAATTGCATACATTATATATTATGCTAAAATGCATAAAGACTGAAATTACAATTTATTCCCCTTTTTAAGCAAATAATCGGACTACAAAACTGAAAGCGTCTAAACTCCAAAGGATAATTGGATTCTGATCCACAGCATCTGGGAAGTATAAATCGGTGCCTCTATATGATTTAACTCTTTCTCATAAATGTCTTCACTAACTGTTAGTTTGCTTAAAAATCCAGATCAAACTAAATTCTCCACCATTCCTTAACACAAATGAAGCCCATAGAAGAGCTTAGGTATAAACCTAAAACAAGCAAAAGTCAGTACAAAATTCTGTAATTGTCTCTCTCAATATGACGAGTAGCCCACTCTCACAACGTTAATGCATGTGTGGCTAAAACAAAATTCAAGTTATAAATGCATGCCTAAAAATAATGAATACTGATGTCATTAAGTTGACATCTATTTCTAGGCAAATATCATAATTTCTAAGTATCTCACTCACAAAAACAAAAACAAATAAACTCACCAAAATATTTTTTTTAAAAAATACTAAAATCATAGTCTTTATAATAATTACATTGCTGTGAACTCAAGTATTAACTATTCAAGAAACAGGTAAAAATGTTAAAACTTCAGGCTACAGACTATAGAAATAGAAAAATAACCTATTTTACAATGGTTTATCATATTCATTTCATTTCAATGAAAAGGATACACAGGCCACATTTTGTTTGACATTTTGATTTAATAATGTATTCAGGGAAATATGAAAATTTTCTAGTATTTCAAAACCATAACATTAAAAAGATTCATAGGAAATAAATAAATACAGCATTTGGGGGGGGGGGATAAAAAAGGAAATACATAGAAGAAATAATTGAAACTGCTCCTACCCTCCAAAGTGATTATTAATCCTTAGTAAGAAATAAAATATTTAATTCTGAAAAATTCACAAATGTTATATTACCTAACCCTCCATCCTATATTTAAGGAGATTGTAAATATTAACTGTATCATTTGGTGACATTCAGTATTCCCTAAAAGGTTTCTAAAGGTTTTAATGAAAGCACAGAGTGGGTTAACAGCTGACAATAAGAGAAAGAAATGTTTTCTGGAAAAAATTATTACCTCCTGTCCTTAAACGAAAAGAAAAAAAACAGGAGCCTTTTTCTTTTTATTTTGTTTCTAATTAATATAATATTACATCATTCAAGCATGGACAAACTTTAGCCCTCCAGGTGTTTCGGACTTCAATTTCCATAATTGTGGGAGTCCAAAACATACGGAGGGCCAGTTTACCCATGCCTGACATAGATCAGCCTGAAACAAGTTATCTAGCTAAATAACAAATATTTATTTGCCTAAAGTATGATAAATTGTGTTAAATAGCTTCATAACACTGGAAAAAAATTCTCTATGGATTTTTTTTAAGTTCCAAGGATCCCCAATATCCATTTTTGATTGTCCCTCAACAATCCTGAAAGCAATAGCCGCCATTAGAATGAAGAACTCAAAAACAAACATTTACACCTGATTCCTCTATTTTTAACTCTTTGATTTCTCTATAATTCTCAGATTAGAAATGATTCCTGGAGACTTATAGATAAGTAGATATTTCAATCACACAAAGGGTTTCACGTTTTCTTTGCACTAGTGACTAACAAAATGCATTTCAAGATACCATGTTATGCCATACCAGGCACCCATAACTGACTTGCAGGGCCATGGCAAAATCTAAATCTGAACTAAACCTGAAGTATATACATCCTGCAGCATTGTCACCTGAACAGCTGTACACAGCGTCTCCCAGTTACCATATACAGATACTGGGTTTGTAGAGAGGTTCTTCGGGGGAAAAAGTCATGATTTTTTTAACTCAAAAAAAACCAAAAGAATTGTATTGCTTTATACTATTGTGGAACTCCATAATTCAGGCAATATAAAATAGTACAACAAAAAATGTCCCATGCCATTTTTCAGTAGCAAAGTAAAAGTAACGTGCTCTGGCTGTCAATACTTTGTCCCGTTCAGAGGAAATCAAAAACTCTCTATGGAAAAGAGGACCCTGGAATTTGAAGCTGGAGCAACAGAAGTAGTACACATTATAAACCTCAATTTCAATACATTGGAATGTTCCTTAGGCTAATGGAGGGGTCCTCAAACATTTTAAACAGAGGGCCAGGTCACAGTCCTCCAAACTGTTGGAGGGCCAGATTATAATTTGGAAAAAAATGAATGAATTCCTATGCACCTCACATGCCTTATTTGTAATGCAAAAAACCTACTTTAAAACAATACAATAATTAAAATAAAGAACAATTTTAACAAATATAAACTTATTAGTATTTCAATGGGAAGTGTGAGCCTCCTTTTGGCTGATGGGGTAGGATTGTCGTTGTTGCGTGCTTTCAAGTCGTTTCAGACTTAGATTGACCCTGAGCGAGGGCCGGGTAAATGACCTTGGAGGGCCGTATCCGGGCCCCGCGCCTTAGTTTGAGGATCCCTGGGCTAAAGTAATGCCCATGTTCACTCAATGCAAACTTTAAAAAAAACTTGTACATGAAGTAAAAAACACTTTTTTCGTGTCAGGAGCAACTTTAAAAACTGCAAGTCGCTTCTGGTGTGAGAGAATTGGCCATCTGCAAGGACATTGCCCAGGGGACACCCAGATGTTTTGATGTTTTATCATCCTCGTGGGAGGTTTCTCTCATGTTCCTGCATGGGGAGCTGGAGCTGACAGAGGGAGCTCATCAACAATCGCCACAGATTCAAACCTCCGACCTGTCAGTCTTCAGTCCTGCCAGCACAAGAGTTTAACTAACTGCACCACTTGTCAAGCAGAACACTATTTGACAAGTTAAAACACACACACTGAATTATACCATAAATGCTAATGGCTGTCGGATCATTAGTACAAGGAACTCTTGTTAGGGAAAGCTGGATTATTCAGCTACCATAGCTATCAAACACAGATCTCAATATAGCCCACTGTATCCCCTATTTTGTTCATAAGAATTGATTTTTCAAAGAGGGAGAAAAAAGACAGATGATGTATTTTAACAGTTCAATCCCTTCAGCAGAAATATGTGTTTCAATCCTACATCTTACTCTTTGCAGTAGCAATTGTAAAAGGGGGTAGATAATAATTCCTAAATTATTCTTCTGTACTACCATTTATTTATCCCTATATTAATTTATCTCCCACCATGACTTCAAGTCAAGACAAATAGTTTTCTTTAGAATCCTTCTCTTGGACTTCAACAAAGTTTGTTCTTCAAGGAAGTGACTGTTGACCAACAGATTAAAAACAAACAAACCATACACACAAACACACGCATACTCCAGACCACAAAAGTAACAGCTTGTTTAAGCAACTATGTGAATCACCAGTTGCATCATAGGTTTCTAATTGTATGATAAATAAAGTAAATCTGAACATTTTCTCAAGTTTCAGAGTCTCTTCAGGGAGATAGGGTGGTCTACAAATACATTATTATTATTATTATTATTATTATTATTATTATTATTATTATTATTTCTGACGACTTAGGCTGTGATCTACTGACTACTCAAAACAACAGGCATGACCAAGTGAACAAAGCCTTTGACCAAAAAAAATATCATTTTTTCAAACTATTTTATACCTGGCCAGCTCCCCCTTTTCTTCCTTGTTATCTGTCTAGCTTGGCATTTTTTACCAGCATTGGCACTGGAAGGATGGTGAAGGAAAGAAAGAGAAACACAGACTGTTGGCAGCAAGTTGCTGGAAATTGGCACACAGTAAACAAACTAAAGCTGCCTCAGAATCCCACACTGAACATGTACAAACACCAAGAGATAGAGAAAAGGACAAAGTTGGTAAGTTTGCCTCACCAGCTCCGACCAGCATGTTTTAAAAAGTATAAACCTGGCCACCATTAAAAAAAAACTAGGCAGTAGTGAAAGGAGAAATTCAACCTTAAATTCATTTTCAAAATAGCTTTCAAGTAGCTGCAGGAAATTCAAAATCTTTTTGTTTAATACTTATACAAGGTTTTTCCAGGCTGGTGGTTTATTTTCACTTGTGTATATTTCACATGTGCTAAAAACTTGTTAAACTATTCTTTTGTTTTGTGATGTGGGAACCCAATCCTATTCTTTCTATGGTATTTCTACTTCT